GCTTTGGTGCTCCATCATAGAATTATAAATTATATATTATTGATGGTTATACTCTTCCCTTTTATACTCCCAGTTCCTGGAAGCTTGTTTCTTCCTCTTGGTCTGAGCAACCTTTGTAGGTAACTGGGATGGACTTAGCCAAATAATAAACCCTGGGCAGGATTCTTCTTTTACTTTTTACCAAGTACCTTAAAAAATCTGATATCATCAACTAGAAACATGGCATTATTTAATCTGTGGAATTTTAATGGAATAAAGACCTCCTTCCTTTTTTTCTAAATGTATAGACTGCTTTTAAGCTTATAGAAACATTAAGTAGAAAGTACAAAGAATCCCCAAATAACCAACCCTCCATCTACGCCATCCTAGTTTTTCCTGTTATTCACATCTTGCGTTAGTGTGGCCTATTTGTTACACTTGATGAGCCAATATTGACACACTATTATTCAGTAAAGGCCATAGTTTACATTGCAGTTCACCACTGTCTACTCTACGGGTTTGGATTTTGATACATTCCACCTATCCACTGTCAACCATATCATTTAGAGTCTTTCACTCCCTTAAAAATCCTCTGTGTTCCACCTATTCACCGCTCCCTTCCTCCTCCTTAAACCCGGACAACCACTGGTCTTTGAACTGTCTCCTTAGTCCTGCCTTTTCCAGATTGTGATATAGTTTGATCTGGGTGGTATGTAGCTTTTCAAACTGGCTTCTTTCACTGAGAAGTATGTATTTATTGTTTCTCAGTATGTTTTGTGGCTTGATGACATTTCTTTATATGAACAATATTCCATTGTCTGGATATACCACACTTTGTTTTTCCATTCATCTAAGGTGGTGATTTTCAACCGGTGTGCTGTGGCACGCTGGTGTGCCATGACAGGATTTTAGGAGTGCCACGAACATTTTTAAAGATCATTAATTAAATTATTTTTAAAAGAAGTTCAAAGCACAGTAAGTATATTTTTTTAACTCTTTTTTTTTTTGATCAACATAATTTCAGTGTGCTGTGAAAATTTAACTATAGGTTCAAGTGTTCCATGAGATTAAAAAAGGTTGAATAACACTAATTTAAGGCCATCTTGGTTGTTTCCAAGTTTTGGCAGTTATGAATAAAGCTGATATAAACATTCCTGAGCAGTGGGTTTTGGTGTGGTCATAAGTTTCCAATTCATCTAAGGTAAATACCAAGGAACATAGTTCCTTCTTGTCAATAAAACTTTTAGCACAGTGGTTATGGCGCCAGCCACAGGCTGGCGGGTTCGAACCTGGCCCGGGGCTGCTAAACAGCAATGACAACTGCAACAAAAAGTACCTGGGCATTGTGGCAGGTGCCCATAGTCCCAGCTACTTGGAGCGCTGAGGCAAGAGAATCTCATAAGCCCAAGAATTTGAGGTTGCTGTGAGCTGTGTCACCACAGCACTCTACCGAGGGCGACATAATGAGAAAACATTATGTCTCAAAACAGAAAAAAAAAAAACAAAACTTTTTTATCTGGTATTCACATTCTGCCCCTCCCAATTTCTTTCTCCTAATACACTTCCAGTTTCTGCCACTAAGGAGTCGCATAGAACGTCAAACACATTCAACCACTATGTGAAAAATGAGAAAGTGTTTTCAATTCTTGTAGGAGCTTCCCTGATACACTGATGCTCTTGATAGAGGTGGGACATGAAATAGCCTGTGTACTGTTGCTGCAGGTGAATGTTAAGTGCTACTAGTCACTGCCCCCGAAACATACTGCCTGTGGCTTCTGGTTCCTGCAGTCACATCCATGTGGGCAGCATACGTTTTGCTCTCCCTTTGATGATACCCCAGTCCGTTTATTTTAATCACTGTCTGAAGAGGAGAGCATGGTGACTGCAGAGTCTGTAGCCTCTGTAAATGAGTGTGATCTTGGGGAAATGACTTGGCCTTTTTGATCTTCACTGTCCTCATTCATGATACGGGGTAATAATATCCACTTTGTAAGGCAGTGTTGAGGCTGAGGGTGATGTGAAGAAAGCATTGCTTCCCATATGCCTGGCACACAGGAAGCCGCCTGCCAGTGGCGTGGTGGTGGTGATAATTATTAAGAGCTGTTCAGAACAGCCAGCACATAACCAGGAGAACTAGGTGCTTTGTGTTTCACTGGGGAAACTCAATCTGAACAGTGAGAATAATGAACAACACACATACGTCTATGTTCCAATAGCCGTCTTCTCCTGGCCACTGCTGCCCACTTGCACTCAAAGGCGTTCAGAGCTTTGTCCTCACCACCCATGTTTAATTCTCTTACTGAGCCACCAGAAGCGTTTCTCCCCATCCAGTTGTGTTCCCTCCTGATCTAAGGAACTGATAAATAAGCAATTTTTTTTTTTTGGTCCATTCCTGTTCTACATCCTATTGTCAGATGCCCTTTCTCCTTCCCCATGCCCAAATGAGGCTTCCTAATTGCCCCACAAAGTTTCATTCACTGCCTGCTGCAGTCCCCAGAGTTCATTACAGCTGCCCCGTCTTTCCTGATGCCCCCAGAATACTCGGTGCCTGGCCGTTCATTAGCTCCCACTCACACGCCCTTCTTTGTTGGTGCTGCTAATCAGCCTCGGCAAGCTCTGGGAGTTAAGGACCAGGCCTTTTGTTCGCTGCCCTATCATGTATAGCTGCTTAATTAATTGATGAATTCGTTGGGTTTTGACTCAATTCCAGAACCCAAAACATATTTGGCAGCTCAAACCTGTAAGGTTATAATGGGTTTCTTGTCAATTTTGAGCAATGTCCATTTGCCCAGGAAAGATTCAGTTTTATCTTGGAGTAAGAATACAGATTTATTAAATATTTCTGGAAACCCCTTCTAGCTGGGTGCCTCTTACTGGGTGACTCTGTTTTGCCATCTGGGCAACCGCAGGTTGTCTGTGGATCAGCCGGGACTGCTGTTTGACATCAGCTATCAGCTGTGGTATCCAGCCTTCTGTTGGCGCCACCATTTCCCTGGGGGCTCAAGGTTAGCAGCCTTGACAACATGAGCTCAGGTGACACCTAATTAAGTAAGAAAACCTTTTTACAGCCGAAGATAATATAAGAAATTCCAACTCCACACAGTAGAGAGATGTGGGTTATTTCATCTTTGCGTTCCTATTATTCTTGTCACTCTGCTCCACTGGCACAGGCTGACGCTCGGCTGTCCCCCGGCTGTCCCCTGAGCCCCTTCTGCTGCTGTCCCCTGTGACACTGGCAATGTGCTCTGCTGAGGGAGTTGCTTAGGAACAAAGTTAGCAACTGAACAGTCAGTTCAGGTTATTCATAGAACACTCATTACCAGTCCTGAGTCTGAGTGAGTCCAAAAAGCAGAGGAATATTCCATATAGCCACCCGTAGTATTTCTCCTGCCTCCCCTCCCCCCAGGGAATGTTTCTCCTAGAAGGGGTCAGAGCTGCCTGGCACAGGCTGGCTGAAATCAGAGAAATCCTGGTGTTAGCCTGGATTCAGAAAAGTGGCCTGGCCTCTGAAGAATAATTGGGACATAATTAAATACAAGGAAAGGCTTAGAGTTCTGCTCCCCTCCCTAATGGGTATTCACTAGCGGGATGGTTATTTTTTTGCCTCCTGCTTTATCTACATTTTGACTAGCCCTTGGAACATTACCTCGGGGCAATGTAAATGAAAGTCTATTTTCCAGGATGGAATAAACTGGCAGAAATTTCCATTGTTCATCGAATCTGGTGTAAACCGTTTTGCCTGAGCTGGATATTTCTGGGCCCTGGGCGTTTTCTTGAAGAAAAAGTCACGATTGGGCCAAGAGATCAAAGAGCAGCTAATGGCTTGGTCAAGCTCTCATTCTGTGTCACCGAGATGTGAGCAGATAGCCTAAGGTATCTGAGAAGGAGTAGCGCTCAGCGGTGCCGCTTTCCAATGCTCCCAGCTTTTGTACTATTAGCTTATTTTTTTCCAATCCGCTCTGTAATAACAATCCACTCTTGCCCGGCACTTCTGGCCCCTTGCAGTGTTTTGTCATGCTCATGCTGAAAGAAAAGTTGTCTGTGCAGACTGTATCTTTGCGTTTTGGCTTCAGGGATTTCCCTTTGATTTGGAAAGAATCTTTCAAATTCCGCTATAAAATATACGGGGGGGGGGGGGGAAGACTAAGCCCCAGGAATGTGCCCTGGTGTTGACATTTCTGTCCAATAATGAGCTGAAGGCAAATTATCTTTAGTATCGCTCACGTGAATGATCAACTATGATAAATCCAAATTATCAGTGGTGGCTTGTCACTGATTTATACCACAGGATTCGCTTTTGTCTCCATTCCTCAAGATACAAAGACAGAAGCCATGTTCAGCAGGTGCCTCCAGCAGATCCCTCACTCCTGCAGAGCCTCCTCACGCTCTCTCCCTGCTCTGCCGGGGATATTTATGGTGAGTAGCCGGTTATCTCCTCTTTGGCAGCCGGCCGGGCTTTCCTGTGCCGGGCAAGTGCCCACGTTCGCATTTGCAGACAGAGGCTCACTCCAGTGTCGCTGAAGGAAAGGAGGCGGGGCCAAGGGAGCTTTAAAAGGGAAAGGGGAGTCATTCCACCTTTCAAAAAGAGAAACTATGTTTGGGGAAGAATCATTGATATCTACATATTTCTTCCTTCAGAGGCGTCTAAGGGTTGCGGCTGGAACTTCCTATTAATTCTTTCCTTTTTCTTCCTCTAAGCCTTTGCCTCCCTCGGCCTGTCTGCAGCAGTGAAGGCAGCCGCGGGCCAGGCTGGTAAACTCTGTGAAGTTTGTCACAAGGGTGTCAGGTATTCCTTAATCTGCTTCCAAAGAAAACTTCAAAAAATCTTTCCTGCAGCGTCCCTTTTGGGCCGTCCTCAGAAGCTCTGGGAGGGGAACAGGGAGCCGGAGGGCAGCAGACAGCAGCAGAGTAGATGGCCCGGGGCCGGGGGCCAGCCTAGGTGGCCACACCTGCACCTTGCCTGGGCTATGCTCCCGCAAAGTCAAGTCGTTTTCTACTGAATGCTCAAACCCCTTGCAGTTATGCCGCTCCTACTGACCCTTTTCCTGCCAGTAGTTTTTAGATTTAGTTTTGTGAGCCTCTCGGCACTGAAGCACGGGAGCTGTCCTGAAGGGACGCAGCCTGGAAACAGGAATTCTACTTGTGCGGGTAAGTAATCCCCAGAAAATGTTTTCACTGCCCCCAGGGGACTGCCCTCAGATACCTGTTCATCCAGTGATATAGATTTTTTTCTTTCTGATTTGTCTTTGGGTGTGTATATTTGCTCAATTTTTCTTTTCTGATGCATGTTTGTTTTTTTACTGGCCATTAGAGCTAGTCTGCTACCAAGTATAAAAATCCAGGCTCTCAAACTGTTCTTCTGTGTGTGTGCATACGTCTGACTTTAAAGTAGCTGAATGTTGTTTTTTACAGAAACCTTACTTTTTATTCTGACAGGAGGAGTAACTAACACTTAGTTGAATGGCTTTTTCTTAGAAATTAGGGAAACAGATGGTTTTTTGTTTGCTTATTTTTTGGAAATTGTCTCTCTATTGAAGCCATAAGAAAATCCTTCTTTCTGAGAACTTTGTGTAAGAATTCAGCAGTTGCTAAAAATCAGTGAAAAATGGGAAGGGTGAACAAAGGTAATTATGGAAATTAACCTAAGGTTCAAGTTCAGCCTCCTTCCCTTTCTTCCAACTCTGGCTGTTTCTGAAGCTCTGACACAACTCTCAGTCTGTTTGTTTGTTTGTTTGTTTAGTAACAGGTGCATAGTAACTAACTGCTAAGAAATGATACTGGTAAATAAGCCACATCCCTCTCATAATAAAGGGGAAATGGGAATTTTACTGAATGCAAATTACAATCCTGCCAAAGGATCTTGCCTGAAAAACGTTCTCTCCCTGCTACTTCACTTTTTTAAGCCCTGGGTGGGTCTCCAAATTGCTGCTCAAACAAGGCAGCCATGTCCATCTGTTAGCAGTGGTTCTCAACCTGTGGGTTACGACTCAAAGGACTATATTAAAGGGCCATGGCATTCAGGAGCTGGAGAACCACCGTAGAGGGTCTGAGCAGCCCTGACAGTCCTTTCATATCACCTTGCCCTTTGGATAGAGTTTGCTCCCAAAAAGAGGTAGGTCAGAGAAAACATAGTAAAGTTTCCAAGAGAGAAATCTCGGAAAGGCAGTATACAATAGTTTGAATCAGGAGGACAGAACTGAGCCAAACTGCCAAAGCTGGGCTGCTGTCCTGGCTGCCCTATCAAGGAAGTCCTGAATGAGGAAATCAGGCACTCCTACTCAGAATCGAGGGACTCTGTTAGCAGGTGGCGCTCAGTGTAACAGGTTAGCAGAACTCTGGGTATTTGAAAGAAGGACTGAATTTGGATTCTCTGTTTCTAGCACCTAGACTAGATCTTGGCTTTCATAGCATGCACTTGGTAAATTCTTGCTGAATGAATGAAGAATCTTTCCCTGACCTGCTAAGCACATAGTCATAGAGAATAGCAACAAAAAAGGGGGTGACAAAGAACAAAAGTGATCCATGAACCTCTTACCCAAAGGTTGAAGTAAAAGCTTTTGAACAACAGCTACATCAGATGGATCCTCTCGGGGGTGAGAGAATTTTCCCTCTAGTAGTTGGCACTGCCATCTGTGTGGGATGTGGGGCTGATGTGAGGGCCAATCAGGCAGCCAGTGGCTGGGAAAGAAGTGCCCAGATTGCTGAAGCACAACTCGAGGAGGAATGAGATCACAGAAGTGACCTTCTATGGTGTGCTCTCAGGTCTCAGGGAATATTCTCATTCCTGCTGGAAAGCAAGCCTGTGCCTTTGCACTCCTTGTCACCCTCGCTGGTGGCTCAGAAGGGCCATCGCTGAAACAGATTGCATCAAATAAACATGGTTGCATCCATGCAACTCAGGGTAGACACAGTGAGTTAGGGAGACTCAGAGTGGAAGGAACACAGGTTTTAGAAGCAACAAACCTCATTTCAGATCCGTGGTACCTACCTCGTATTAGAGTTATCTCAGGATGTTTCTGGGAAATAACACCCCCTTCTTTCAGGATTGCTGTGGGGATCACGTGAGAGAACACCCCAGATGCACCAAGCACAATGGTTAGCAGAGTGTGCTTAATAAGTGTTCTCTGGAGCTCCACATCTTGGCTACACCTCTTTGAGGAAGTCAAACCACGAGATGCCTTATCTGAACAGACCCTGTGGAGCCTGGAATGTCTGGATGCCACTTTGTCACTCCTTGCCTCTTTGCTCCCTCAGTTCTTGCAAGTCACTGGTTTCAACCCCCTTGTTTACGCTCCCCGTCTCGTGTTAGCTGATGACTGCCTGGGTCACCCCCTGTAACCTTCCACATTTCAGAGGATAGTATTTCTTTCTCCTCTTTAAATAGATACGGTGCCATCATCTATTTTCCCCCTATTTAAATTCTACTTGCCCTATTTCTTGCCCTTGGCACTGAGACAGACCACTTCTAGGGCCAGCAGGGAGAATGCTTTGTGGTCTAACAGGATTCAGGTAAACTGCTTCAAGGCTGTTACTCACGTGACTGCTAGCCAGATAAACCAAGTGACAGCAGCACAGAATTCGGTTTTCTTTCCATTCCCCTCTCCCTTTGCTTTTTAACTGACTGTGTATTGTTAGCAGCTCCTGGAGCTAACAGGTGAGGAGAGTAGTAAAGAAAACTGCTGGCAAGCAGCTGCTGAACTTTCAGGCCTATTTACCCTGGAGGACAAATACCAGTTGGAAAAGGAACTGTTCCTGTTTGACGTGTGCACTTGCATTTTTCATATCAACTTTCCTTGGTAAATGGAGGGTGAGAAGGAAGGGTAGCCTCAGAGAGCTGGCTGCAGGAGGGGTCCTGGCAGCGCCAAGGTAGCTCACAGGGTAGATCACTTTTAACGGTAAACAGTGAAATCACTGATTTCAGCACCGGCTAAGGCTTGGTCAGCTTCCCAGTCACATGCAATCCAGAGTAATTCCAAGATCTGAATCTTGTTTGTTTTTTCAGCCTGAGTTAGGCAAAAGTTTTTTTTTTTTTTTTTTTAATATATATAATCTAACTGCAGAGAAATTACAGAAATGATCTTTTATGGACGACATGTGAATGGAAACCATTCCCCAAATATTCAGTGGTTTTGGTCTTTGAGGGATAGTAGAACTTTGTGGTAGAGTCTAAATTTTGGAGACACATTACCTGCCTGGGTTCAAATTCTATTTCTGCTGCTTGGGAACCATGTGTGTCATTTTCCTTACTGTAAAATAAAGATAACTTTGCCCGTTTCCTAGGATTCTTGTGAGTCCTGTGTTAATGTATTCCTTTTCGATGCGGCTGTACTATAGAATCATCAATGTCCAGGTTACCACCCCAGGCAATCTGGATCAGAGTCTCTTTTGCAGGTGGACTCTACCCCTCATTTATTTATTTTTTTTTAAATGCTCTCTTGGTGATTTTAACTGGCAGCCTGGGCTTAGAACTACTAAGTTAATATGTGTAAAGTGCACCCCCAAAGACCCTGGCATATAATAAGCACTCAAGAAGCCTTAGCTTCTATTAATATTTTTATTGTTAAAATTATTTTTATGGATGATAATAGGATTTTCTAAATGTGTATGTTCTATAATCATCGAACATTTTTTTATTCATGGAAAAATATCATATTGAAAACCCCTGTGATAGTTTTACAACATTAAAAACTATAGTAAAAATAATTCTATAACTTATACTTTTATAATCAGAAGATATGTGTAAGAAAATACAAGAGCATATCAACTTGATCTGAGTGAGCATCCTTGTAGGACAGTAGCTCTGCTGTTTGTCTTTCTGTTACACCAAACTGATTTAAAAAAATTCCATTCACTGCAAATTAATCCTATTTGTTAGATTTCTTATCAGTACCAATTTTAACTTGTGAAAGCAAGCCATTTGAAAATGATAGTGATTAATTTAATTTTTGCATATTTTCCTCCATGTTTGGAACCCATTTCTCCAAGATTTTCAAAGCTGTTAAAATAAACAGCAAATTGGTTCATCAGATGCATTTACATTGGGGGGCTAATTTGAGTTTGTCCAAATATTTGACATTCAATTTAGAAGTTAGAAAGTGAGAACCATTCCCTTGTGTTAAGAGTAGAGCAAGTAATTGATCCTTTCCATTAAAAGTAACTGGACGAGTAATTTGACCCAAGTAAATTAGAAATCTTATTTTACAATCTAAAACCTGACTTTATTAAAATCCATTTGAAGTAATTCCTTGTGTGGTATGGCTGGTTGCATTTTAAAATCCGTAGTCTCCAAATTCCATTCCATTTGTTAAAATAATTGAAATGTGCGCGTATGCTGCCAATCAACATTTTTTACTTACCAATGACATATGTAAACAACATATGTATAAAGAACTTTACACGACACATAATATTTCTAATATTTACTTTCTACAAAACAGCAAAGCGTCTTACACAGTCTTTCTATGGTATTCACCTTTCTTGGGAGAGAGTAGTTTAGGAAAGAAGAAATATTCCTTCAATATTAGGAGTGCAAAGCCACCTCATTAATTAGGTAGTAGAACAATATTCCTTCAATATTAGCTCTACTCCTTTTATTTTAAGGCACTGTGAAGTAAACAAAAGGATTGCTAGGTGCTTTTTTTTTCCCTGTAAAGGGTCATTATTCATGGTGAATGACTTTCCTCAGAGTGTGTAATGGCACAAATACAAATGCAATATGGCAGGATACGACTGCTCAGGCCTGTAATCCTAGCACTCTGGGAGGTGGAGGCAGGAGGATCCCTTGAGCTCAGGAGTTCCAGACCTGCCTGAGTAAGAGCAAGACCCCATCTCCACTAAAAATAGAAAAATCTAGCCAGGCATGGTGGTGCATACTTGCAGACCCAGCTACTCGGGAGGCTGAGGCAAGTGGATTGCTCAAGCCCAGGAGTTTGAGGTTGCTGTGAGCTATGATGCCATGGCACTGTACCCAGGGCAGCAGGTGGGGGGAGACCTTCTTCCAGGAGCCCTGCAGCCTTCCAGTGGCATGGTCACAGACAGAGACAGGTCCTGGAATCTCTCAGAAAGATCTAGGGTGGGAAGATTTTATTGGGGGCTAATTTCTAGCACTTCTCTTGGTGGCATCCTCCAAAATAATTTGAATACTAAAA